AAAGGTTTTCCTATATGTCATTTGAACCAGGAAGTAGCCTTTCCCACTCTTTTGTCCTAATCCACAAAATTCCAAGTAGGGTGAGCTACATTGTCTGGACATTAACAGCTGTCTGAATTTATCTTTGCTAAGAACTGAGAGTTTTAGAGTGTTTATTCATATTGCATCAATGTCCTAATTTAGGAAAGTTCAGGCAGCTTCCAAATAGTTTCAAAATGGATTGAGAAGAAAGCATGTATTTCTAGCCTACTTTTCCACAGGGGTGGAGTCTTTGTGGGAAGAGACATTGGAGTGTCTGATGGAAATCTACAAGGCGGCCACCTAGACATCAACTCTCACATTCACCAAGAACTCTCCATTTGTTGTACAAACATAATTGGATGCAGCCTTTGTCAGAAAGATGCGGCTGGCAGCTGTTAAGACATTCATCCCTTCCTCCTGTAGGATTTTTTTATTGCTAAAGGAGGTCCCAAGCAATTAGACTGGTTGAAGAAGAAAAGTAAGAACATTTATTTTCTTTGAGATGCCAGTCCAGGCCCCCACCTTGGAAAAATTAATACAATATCCTTTTATAAAGTTTCATCTTGGTTTTACAATTGTTCAAGGTCATTCTTTTTACCGGAACTGCTTTCCAAGTCTCAGCTGAGTTCTGAGCTGGTAAGCCCTTTCAGTGTGTACTGGGGAGAGAAGGATAATGTGTCAAAAACTTAGTTATTTTTTCTCAATTAGCTAGCAGGGAAGAAATATACCCAAGCAACTGGATTGGTATAGAAATTAATGAAGAAAGGAAGTTTAACAAATATGGACAATATCCCCTAAAATCAGCAGTGATTTTATATTTGCTTCTAGATCATAGATGAAAATTTTGAATAGTGTTGGCTGATCCTTGTAGAACGCTACTAAAAACACTCCTATTGCATGATGGTTCCCCATTAACAATTATTTTTTGAGATGTCAGTTAACCAGGTTTTACTCCGTTTGGCATGTGTTTTGTTGATATTGCATAGTGCTAATTTTTAATCAGAATGTCGTGCAATACTGTATCAAATGCCTTACAAAAGTCTATGTATACTAGATCTATGTAGTTACCTTTATCAACCAAATTTATAATCTCATTAAACAGGGGTCGGCAACCTTCAGCATGCGGCCCATCAGGGTAATCTGCTGGTGGGCTGTGAGACATTTTTTTTACATTGATCGTCCGCAGGCATGGCTCCCCGCAGCTCCCATTGGCTGCAATTCACCATTCCTGGCCAATGGGAGCTGCGGGAAGCAGCGGCCAGCACGTAGCTGTGGCCCACACCACTTCCTGCAGCTCCCATTGTCCGGGAACAGTGAACCGCAGCCACTAGGAGCTGCAGGATGCCGTGCCTGTGGATGGTCAACGTAAACAAACTGTCTCGCGGCCCGCCAGCAGATTACCCTCATGGGCCGCATGCCGAAGATTGCCGACCCCTGCCATAAAAGAATGACAGGTTTGTTTGACAAGATCACCTGATTTGTCTCCATATCTGTTCTGGAGCATCTCTCCGTGTACATCTACACTTTGAGCTGGAGGTGTAATTTCTGCTTGGGTAGACATATGCACACTAGCTTTGATTGAGCTAGCACACTAAAACTAGAAGTGCAGTAGAGGCTGTGGGATGGGCTAGTTACCTTGAGTACAATCCCACCCAGGACCCTACGTACTTAGTTGGGCAGCTTGTCTGTCCCGCCTCCCACTCAGCCACAGCTACACTTTTGTTTTTAGCATTCTAGCTCAATCACATATTTGTGCGTCTACCTGAGTTGAAAATTATCCCTACAGCTCAAAGTGTAGATGTACCCTTAGAGGCAAAGTACCTTATGAAGATTTGATTTCTGGATGGATTCTTTCAGTTACCTTTGAGGTATATATCCAAGATTGGGGCAGGGGGAGGCGATCTTTTTCCTCTAAGAGTAAAAGTCCATCAGACCAAGTGTCAGGCTGTCATCTGGACAGAAACGGGGAAGCATCTGAAAAAGAGATTTGTGAAGCAGATTACTTGTAAGTGCACGCGCTCCTTTGCTAAACCCTATAGTTTGGGTATTAATGTGTTGGCTGGTGCACTTTTCTCTGGTGCTTTATAAGGGCTGTAATTGTGTGTGTGTGTGTGTGTGTGTGTGCATGTAATCAAGAGGTATGTTTCCTCCTCCTTAATTTCCATTAGTATGGATTACTAGAGCTACTCTTTGTAATTTTTCCCTACATGTAAAATGGGTTTCTGTTAAAGTAGCTCCAGCCTCCCACCTGCTTATTGTTATTCTATAGCTCTCTTCTTTTGGTGCATTGGTTCTGGGGAAGTTGCAATCCTGGTTATGCTGTGGGTATTAGCAGTATTGTTTGCTTGCGTCATGAACCTTTTTTAATTTTCTTCATCCATCTGATTGTCACCTGTGAAATGAGAGGGGGCCATTGCATTTCACCTGATTCTTCACCAGTTGTGTAACTAAAATAGTCCTTGCCATAGTGCGTGGATACAATGGAGATCTGAAAATCTATACATACTTTAATATCTATGGTGAATTACAAGTATTTTGTGAAAACTGTTGTTCCTATTTTAAGTTAAACAATTTGGTCTCAGTATGCATTTGAGAGGCAATGTATCTATGGATTAGAAAAGAGGATTGCAGTTCAGGATTTTTATTTTTTACTCTCAGTTGTCCCACTACCTGTAATATGGAACAAGTAACTTAGAAACAGTTCTTGTTTGAAAGTTTTGACCTATGTCTAAACGCACCTGTATCTTTACACAATTAAATAAATATACTGATTGTGACGGGTTGGATCACAGAACCCCCCCTTGGGAGCTGCAACCTGATGTGCCAAGACTACTTCTGCCCCTGCTTTCCTGCCAGCTTGGGACCCCAGCACCCTGTTTTGCTGAGCCAGACACGCCCGTCTGCTCCAACAAAGACCCAGGTCTGAATTATTTGCCCCGAAGCTGCAGACTTAACTGAAAGCAGCTTACAGAAGTGCTTTTGTTTTTAACACTCAGATGCTCAACTCCCAATGGGGTCTAAACCCAAATAAATCCATTTTACTCTGTATAAAGCTTATACAGAGTAAACTCATAAATTGTTCGCCCTCTATAACACTGATAGAGAGATATGCACAGCTGTTTGCCTCCCCCAGGTATTAATACATACTCTGGGTTAATTAATAAGTAAAAAGTGATTTTATTAAATATAGAAAGTAGGATTTAAGTGGTTCCAAGTAGTAACAGACAGAACAAAGTAAGTCACCAAGCAAAATAAAATAAAACACACAAATCTATGTCTAATCAAACTGAATACAGATAATCTCACCCTTAGAGATGCTTCAGTAAGTTTTTTCCTCAGACTGGACACCTTCCAGGCCTGGGCACAATTCTTTCCCCTGGTACAGCTCTTGTTCCAGTCAGGGCCAGCTCCAGGGCACCAGCCCAGCAAGCAGGTGCTTGGGGCGGCCAAGGGGAAGGGGCGGCACGTCGGGCTGTTCGGCGGCAATTCGGTGGCGGGTCCCTCTCAGAGGGAAGCACCTGCCGCCGAATTCCTGCCGAAGAAGAAAGCGGCGGGGTGGAGCTGCAGCTGGAGTGCCGCCAATCGTGATTGCGATCGCGGCTTCTTTTTTTTCCCCCCTGCCATTTGGGGCAGCAAAAACCCTGGAGCCGGTCCTGGTTCCAGCTTAGGTAGTAGCTAGGGGATTCCTCATGATGGCTCTCCCCTTTGTTCTGTTCCACCCATTTATATATCTTTTGCATAAGGCGGAAATCCTTTGTCCCTCTCTGGGTTCCCACCCCCTCCTTCTCAATGGAAAGACACCAGGTTAAAGATGGATTCCAATTCAGGTGACATGATCACATGTCACTGTAAGACTTCAAGCCTTCATTCTTCCGAGCCTGACTCACAGGAAGGCTTGCCTGCAAACAGAGCCATCCACAGTCAATTGAACTGGTTGATGGACGCCATCAAGATTCCAAACCACCATTAATGGCCCACACTTTGCATAATTACAATAGGCCTTCAGTGTTATATTTTATATTTCTAGTTTTAGATACAAGCGTGATACATTTATACAAATAGGATGACCACACTCAGTAGATTATAAGCTTTGTAATGATACCTTACAAGAGACCTTTTGCATGAAGCATATTCCAGTTACATTATATTCACTCATTAGCATATATTTATAAAATCATATAGAGTGCAACGTCACACTGATATCCAAAGGTACTGAGCACATACAGCTCCCACTGAAGCCAGTAGAAGCTACAACTGCTCAGTACACCTGAAAATCAGGTCTCTTCGATACTTGCCTAAGTGTGGAGTAGTTGCCTATTTTAAGGCACACGCATTTTGGTTTTAACTTTTTGTGCCTTCGTTTCCTAATGTGTAAAATTGGGAGAATATTTTCTACCAAACTTCATGGAGATGTTGCAAGACTCCATTAACATTTGTTAGTATTTTGATAACCCAAGGTGAAAGTTGCTACCTAGGATCCTGATCCTGCATCCATTGAAATCATTGGGCACACGATTGGGCCATGTGTGAAAAATTTTGTTTATCTTTCACCTGCTATTGATGTTTTTGTGTATGCAAACCACTGTTTGTTTGAAGAGGACAACAGAATTATTTGAAGCTGTTTATTGTGTATATGAGTGTACAGATTAAGAAGGGATGTGTCTGTTAATGAAGAAGGTATTATTCAATATGCAGTTGTGAGGGTATAAACATTAATAGCAAGGTTGTGCAACAAGTTGAGGAACAATAACTTAATGTGTAAAATTGTGCCCTTAAAGAAACAAAATTATTTCAATTGCACTAAGTGCTTCAACAGCACTTCTGAAAACAGTTCTGTGTCTTCGGGTATGCAGTTTCATGCATCGTTGCCCATAATTGTGCACTTAAAATACAATATCTAGAAATCTAGCCCTCCCTACTTTACACACTATATATATGTATGTATATACACACTCACACGTTTTCTTCTTTGTTTCCAGGAAAAATATTCAGATGTTACCAGTCGGCTAGATGAAACCACTCACATTATTGAAAATTTTCAAAACAGAATTCATGAATTAAATGAATTAGCAGAGACAAAGCAAAGACAAATTGAAACTACAGAGAAATCCCTCAAGGAATTGAGGTAAGAATTTCCATTCCTATCAAAGTTTTTTAAAAGGTAGCTTTTATGTTATCTGTACAGTATTATTTATAGTAAATATAATGCAGTTTTTATCAATAATTTGAAAGTATTTTTGTTTGATTATACTTCGTGGGTTTTGTGCATTTGTAGAGGACATTCATGATAAATTGTCTGCCTGGTAAATGGTATTTCAGGCATCAGGACTATTTTCCAAAATCTAATAAAATCCATGGTCAGTTGCATCTTTAATTAATGGAGGATTTCTTGTGTTCTGGTTTTTCTCTGTTTCAAGAAATGTGGACCTACACTTACTGTGACTGATGAGTCCTGAAAATAGTCTCCAAGGGCCCTATCCAGCTGAAAATACCTGTAGCCTTCTAGGCCACGCAAGCCTTGGAGGGCCATATATGATGATTGCACAGCAGGCTTACTCTTCTCCAGGATAAAGGTGAGCCTGCTGTGCAATGTCAAAGAGAAAATAGCTGTGTGCTGTTCAATTGCAAAGTTACTTACAGGATGGGGAAGTCATGAAAAAAGAGTTCCTTGCCTTCACACACTATAACTCCCTTCCTGCGGTCACGTTCACTTCCATTTGCAGGTGCTACACATTCCCAACTGCCTGGGATTGGCTTCTTCCAAACCTTGATTCAAGCAGAATGATTCAGCTGAACCTAGTGCTCAGACCTCCAGTCCAGTGGATTCCAAAAATAGAGAGGATCAGTGCTCAGCATCTCACATCCAGCAGTTGATACTGACATCCATTTGATCAGTTTCATGCAATGGGATGCTGTATCCCAAACTCTATTCCTTGGTTCTGGCCAAGAATCTTTAAGAGCAATTGAAGTTGGTAGTGAAAGGTTGTAGTGTTTGTTTTGTCACTTCCAGTAACTCTTTGGTTCTGAATAGTTATTGAGTTCAGCACTCCTTCTGCTGAGGGATTCCTCAAACTTTTTTCCAATTCCTACTCTTTAAAAAGACCATTGATTTTGAAATTCTGTAAAGAATACTTTGAATATTTCCTGAGCCTCTGCTTCTCAGGTATCCCATCTCACTCTTAAAGATCTGAAGCCACTCCACTTCCAAGACTTGGATCCAAATGATTGAAGTTGCTTGTTCCCCATCTATTTTTTACCATTCTCCTCTGCACAGAGACCATACAGCACAAGTGGAATTCCTCCCCCATGTGAATTGCTGGAAAACTAGGATAGTGCACCTATGGCCTCTATGATCATTGGAGCATACAGCCTGTGTAAAAAAAAAAAAAAAAGGGGGGGGGTGGAGAAAGAGAAGGAAAAGGTTCTTTCTCATTGCTTGCTACTTCTTGCTGATTGTTATTTCCCATTAGTGGTGAGTATGCAGAAAAAAGGAATCTTTCTTACCTGTTAATTTCTTTTATTCTATTAATGTCTCTAATAGTCTGTCCCAGCAGTTGGCATTTTATGTACATATCTTAAAGAAGGGTTTCCCTGGAGCCAGTTCCTATTATTTTCTGGGTGGTATAGCTGGTTAAATATTAAACATGCTTATCTATTTGGATTACATTTTTTTACTTTTGGGTGTAATGGTGATTGGTTTAAGTGATTGTTATACAACTTTAGAAGAACTCTTCTAGTAGTTTGCAAGATGGGTTAACTTAAGGTTCCCAGCATCCTCTTCAAAATGCTTGAACTGACCCCATCTTTGAGGAGAGAGATCAACTCATTTGTGAGGATTAGTGTAGATATTGAAAAAATTAAGGCAAGTAGCATGTAAGAAACTTTCCTGTTTGAGTCTGACTCAGTCTCTTAGACCAAGTGACGAAAGATCATTCAAATACGTCAATAGATTTTTAGCCTGTTCATCAGCAGACCTATGATATGGGAGTTACTGTTTCTGTGAAGAAACCGTGCACACTTTAGGGAAGCAGCTGGAGGCAACAGCCCTTGATTCCAGGTGCTGATTCCTGCCTGGCTTGGTGGAGAAACTGGGGACATGGGGTTCCTGCTGCTGACGTCACTCATGGCTATTGCTTACTTTCTAGCTTACTCTCTCACACTTCTATCTGATCTCCTCTTCCACTTATTACTGTTTAACTGCAAAAAAAAAAAATAGCAAAAGCCTAAACATAAACTACCAGAATAAAATAGAAAATTTGACCTATATAGTACTAAAACAACAGTACTATAAAATTAAAAAATTTCCAGAGTAGCGGCAACTGTGTAACTGAAAAGACTACCACAAATCCCTATGCTAACACACTAATTAAGGAAAACAGAGTCCCACCCTAAAGCCCATCAAGGCAACCCAATAAAAATGGTGAACCATTTTGAAAAACCTTACTGCCTTTCACTCTCCCTGGGAAAAACAAAAACCCTATAGAAAATGCATAGGACTAGCAATTCTAAGCAAGAACCTACCACATTGCCAACTGCACCAAGCTCCTCTTGTCTCATTGGGAGTTGAGAGGGGCAAGTTTGATTGGATTAGTGGGAGATAGAACCCCAGGTGTTGGCTAAGGGAACTGGAAGTGTGCATACTTAATCATGCTGGAACCTTTTCCTTCCCTGTACCTAACAGCCTACATAATGTGCCTGGAACATAAGGAGAAGGAAATGGGAGCAAAGGGACAGATTAAGGGGCACATGCTGGTGACAGGGGCAAGCTGGGGGAAACAAGGCAGAAGGGTCTATAACCAATAGAATATACTTTCCTCCAAAATTTGGAATTGAACCCAGAATTCCTGAATCTCAGCGCTCCTATGCTTTCAGCAGATAGCTGTAAATCCCACTGGCAAAGTATGTGTCTCATTCCTCGCTAGTGGCTAGTTCTACTACTGCTACCAGATATGCTGTTAGTAAGTGGGAGAGGTCTGTGCAGTGGATCTAAAGTTTCCAGAACTGCTGATGACACATGTGAGATCACCATGATTATACATGAAGGAATTTTTGAGTGTTTCAGTTTGCTTTTTTTTTAAAAAAATGAAGGAAATTGCATTACCCCACCTCCCACAAAAAAGCTATTTTAAAACAACATTTGGGGTACGTCTATACTTACTTCCTGGTCCGGATGTAAGCAATCGATCTTCTGGGATCAATTTATCGCGTCTTGTCTAGACGCGATAAATCGATCCCGGAAGTGCTTGCCGTCGACGCCGGTACTCCAGCTCAGCGAGAGGAGTACGCGGCATCGACGGGGGAGCCTGCCTGCAGCGTCTGGACCCGCAGTAAGTTCGGACTAAGGTACTTCGAATTCAGCTACGTTATTAATGTAGCTGACTTTGCGTACCTTAGTCCGAAGTGGGGGGTTAGTGTGGACCAGGCCTTAGGTTACAAAGTAAAGCACTAAAAAGTTAGGAAATGCCAGACTTAAGGTTTATTTGTCCCCTTGTGTATATGCATTATGACAGTCTTTAATTACATGATCAAATACTATATTATCTATAGGACCCCTAATTTGCTATATTTTATTTTTCATATCCTTTTGTGTGAAAATGTGGCTCCATTAATAACATGAGTACTCGTGTACAGACCTCTGAGGAAAAGGAAAATTATAACAAATACATTTTAGAAACCTCTAAAGATGGCCTAACATACCTTTTATATTAATCAAAAAGGTGCAATTTTAAGAAGAAATGTCCAAGGACTGACCAGGTCTAGAAACTAACACTGTATCCCACTGGAAAGCTTTTTTCAGTGGTTAAAAGCTCTCATTTCTATCCCTGGTGAGTCATCAGATATTGGTCCTGGGATTATTAGACTGTTCTGCATCTCACACCCCCAGTATAATTTTAGAGGAAAACTTCATATGTGAGGGGAAAGTGATCCTTTCCCAGGACAGCTGATATTTTTAAAGTAGAAGCTTTTTTTGAAGTTGCTGAGAGTTTTAAATGTTAGTAGTCTGATGGAGATGGAGTAGTGGGCAGAGTACGTGTGAGGTTATTCTAAAGAACATAAGTTATATCTATCACATGGTTCTATATGGTTTTTCAAATGGATCTTAACATATGTGAGATTTGTCTGTCTTTTTGTCTACAGTAAAATTAAATATTAAACTATATAAAGTAAGACTAAAAAATCAGTTTATAATATTTTAATTTTAATATTTATAGTATTTTAATTTTAATTAAGAACGTTTTTCTTTTAAAGGGAAAATTTTAGTGCTGTTAGCTGTAAGCAGGAGAAAAATCAGATGATAATTGATTACCTCCAGAATGAATTAGAAAAATATGAGAAGAGAATACAGCATGAGGAAAAAACATATGGAGAATTACTATGGACTAGACAGAAAAATTTGGAAGAGATGAAGGTGGGTACCATTAGAACTGTTTTGTTTAACAGAAGTAAAACGGCATCACTTAAACCTGGTTAGTTACTGACGTCTTTTAAATACTTTAGCACAATTTTATTAAATGTTCAGTATATAAGGGCACAATCTTCTTGGCAATATGCAAGTAACACCCTCTATTGATGTCCATTGCTATTTTTCTGTGTTAGGACTGTAGGATCTGGTCCTGACATTCCTAAATGACTTCCTTTAGGATAAGTATACAGTTATTAATTTGATTCTGCCGTGTTAATTTTACATGTATGTTTAATTTGTTAAGTGTTTCCCGTTCCATTTTCCTGACCTCTGTTCTGCAAAGCAATGAACATGCTAAATCTTTTATCACTTTATAAATTGGAAGGCAACAGATATTCCATAATGGCATCTTCTATATGAAATTTGACTGGAGCACTGATGCTGTATTTGGCACCAAGCAGATGGACCCCCTGAGCCTGTGTAGAGTTAATTGCAAAATCAGGGCCTAGTGAAGCAGACGTTTAGAAAATACAGTTGCTTTAGCTACAAAACTCTTACGAAAGATCAGATACTGTAAAATTCCCTAAATTCTATATTGAAGAATTATTCTCACATTTTAACTTTTCTATCTAAGATAAAGAAAAATTACCTTGTTTCTTTTTTGTCATTGACAACATTTAATTTCTGTTTGTTGTGCTTTGCATACAAATGATATTAAAATATTTGCATGGTTCTAAGAACACTGATTAATATTTTTATCTTCAATTATGTTCAAAACAATCTTAGATTATTAAAATTTGACAGAATTTAAAACATTTACTTTATTGTACTCTTCAGCACTATATTGCTTGTTTAGTTTTTGCACTTCACTCAGAATAGGCTTTGAAAATAGACTAATCACTTCTACTGTCATTTTTAGTTAGTTTCACTTTCCAGCTTTGATGTTCTAGCACAGTGATACTGTACAGTATTTTAATTGCAAACACTCCAGGGGACTGTTTAAATCAAAGTAAGATTTTTTTTCATTCAAATATTACCAAAACAATTTATGAAACATTTCAGTTAACATTGGACCTGTTTCTCTCCTGCCTTTGCACATGGTAGGTATTTACACTTGTGCAAAGTAATCCATGTGAATGTGAAATATCAAATCACTCCACTCACAAGAGTGGCAGTAGTGCTTTGTGCTCACGTTGCATTGGTACAGTGTTGTAGAGAATAAGGCCCATTATGTTTTTTAACAATTGGTTTTGTTTGTTTCTACAAAGCCTGTGTTGATCAGAACACACAGGAGAATGAACATAGATACAGAGATAGATTTAAAAGTAGAAGTTTTGCAACTTCATTAACTGTTAACTTTAATGGGAGAACCCCCAAATACCAGGCATTTATTTGGGATCAGTGCAGTGTGAAATGGATAACATGTCAAATAACCAGTATTCAGGCTTGCCCCTCTTCAGCCTAACCCTGGGGATTCACCCTCTTGCTCTGTCCCTGTGAAGGGGCATGAGGATACACATGAAGGATACTTAAGGTTTCCCCTTTTTCTGCAGACTAATAGGATCCAACCGTATCTCATGTTTACATCTGAGAGCAGGACCCTTGGAGTGTCTCACCTGCACTGGCCACAAGGGATGCCACTGAATAACTTGGCTGTAACCCTGAGCCCAGAGCTTGGTATTTGCCTCCCATCAATCCAATCTGTAAGTTCTTACAACAACCTAACAGTCCCATATCTGAAGAACTCACTTGTCTTCCCTGTAAAGTTCAGGAACGTTGTTCCTGGTTTCCTGGCTGTGATCACTGTGCCACCAATGTCCAAAAAGAATCTGACCTTTTGGTTCACAGTCCTCTGGGCTCAATCCACACAAGCAGAGGTGACAGCTTTCCATCATATATGTATTGCATGCATTTGACATCAATTACCTTTGTGCCCAGATGCAACTAGGTAATTCAGCCTACATTCCTGCTAAATCCTGACTCAAATTCACCTGAAAATCCTAAAATCATTCTCCTTTAAATGAATAGTTGAGATATTAGATGAATGTAATTTTCCCATCAGGGAGTGCAGAAGTGGCATGAGCTGGTCCCATAACATTCTATGACCTGCTTAACATTCTGTGACCTGCTTCCTGTTCTCTCGCCATCTTGTGGGCTCAATGCCCCATTAAATTGCCTGTAAATCCAGACATCCACCTTATTTCTGATGTCTCCTGAAAATTACTCGTAGGAAAGGTTTAGCTCATATTTTCCAACTGTCCCATTAGTTTCCATTGTACTACGGGCATAGGCCATAACTTTCCAATGTCAAGCCCCACCTAGGGCCCCTTTGGGAATCAAAACCTTCCAGAACTCCAGATGCTGACATACCATTTTCTGGACTGTGCCCCACTCAAGCTAATGCTTTCCTCCATACTGCAGTTAATGGATGTCTGTCCAGGTAGCTGTCATCCCTTTGTGTACTGCAAAAGGCCTGGCTCTTGCATACACAGGGCCCAAAATGTTCCCATGGCTTTTACAGGCATACTTGTTCATAGATTCTAAGGCTAGAGGGACCACTGTTATCATCTAGTCTGACCTTCTACATAGCCCAGGGCATCTGGGCATTCTCTTAATTCTGTTTTGGTGTCCTCACTTATGCTTGATCAGTCTTTTATCTTCATTTAACTTCCACCTCTGCCAGTTCAAATGCATGCCTGGAGCTGTCTCTTGACTCTTCTCTGAACTCTCCAATTTATCAGCATCCTTCTTGAATTGTGGATACCAGATCTGGACACAGTATTTCAGCAGTGGTCACACCAGTGCCCAGTACAGAGGTAAAATAACTTCTCTATGTCTACTAAGATTCCCCTGGTTATGCATCCAAGGGTTGCATTAGCTCTTCTGGCCATAGTGTCACACTGGGAGCTCGTGTTCAGGTGATTATCTACCACAATCCCCCAATTTTTTCAGTCACTGCTTCCCAGGATAGAGTCCCTCCTCCATTCTGTAAGGCCTACATTCTTTCTTCCTAGATGTATACATTTACATTTAATCATATTAAAACATATAAATTTGCTTGCATTCAGCTTACCAAGCAATCCAAATCGCTCTGTATTAATGATCTGTCCACTTCGTTATTTACTACTCCCCCAATTTTTATGTCAACTCCAATTTTTTATCAACTCCAATTTAGTGATGATTTTATGTTTTCTTCCAGGTCATTGTTAAAAATATTATACAGTGTAGGGCAAAGAACCGATCCTGGTGGGACCCCCACGAGAAACACGCCAGCTCGATGGTTATTATATTTATTTATGTTCATTACTATAACACCTAGGAGCCCTAGTTAAGGACCAGGACCCTATCGTACAAGGGCTGTACAAAAGCAAAACAAAAAGACCGTGCCTGCCCCAAATATCTTAGGATCTAAGTGCTGTAATAGCTTCTTTAAACCTTACATTCTGCAGATACAAAACAGTGTTCTTTCCCAAAATTTATGCTAACATATATACTTACATTCTATACTGATGTGCATGGTATAAACCAGGGTTCGGCAACCTTTCAGAAGAGTCTTCATTTATTCACTCTAATTTAAGGTTTCGCGTGCCAGTAATACATTTTAACGTTTTTAGAAGTCTCTTTCTATCAGTCTATAATATATAACTAAACTATTGTTGTATGTACAGTAAATAAGGTTTTTAAAATGTTTAAGAAGCTTCATTTAAAATTAAATTAAAATACAGAGCCCTCCGGACCAGTGGCCAGGACCTGGGCAGTGTGAGCGCCACTGAAAATCAGCTTGCGTGCCGCCTTTGGCACGCGTGCCATAGGTTGCCTACCCCTGGTATAAACACATAGACAGCTGAGGATCCCATCACAGACACTGGGATCATATTTGAAGAGATATTTCCAAAAAATACTCTTCAAGATGATCCCTTGGAATGCTATTATTTTAGCTCTAGCACAAATACATTTCAGATTATATTATTACCTGCTACTTACATGGTTAGTATCCTTTCAATTAAAATAATTACAAGGAGGAGTATTCTGTTTTTTGAAGCTGGAGCAAGAATTCCCGAATAACCAAACTCCCTCCCTGTCCCTTCCCAAACTTAAATCTAGTCCCATATTTAGGTCTAGCTATTGGATGAACCCTAACCATGTACTTCTAAAATGCAGATTCATATACCCATCAGACAGACTTGATTACATATGAAGGTAATAATCTGGAATAAATTCTGTTGCACTTAGCATCCAGAGATATACTGAAATTTTATATTTTCTGTCAAAGGATAGCAATGGGCATCACTGTCTATTTCTGTTCATTAATATTAGTGTTCTGCTAAAAGAAATCCTTAACGCACAATAATTTCTCCTACAAGGTGTTCTGTTCTATTAATTAATTACAATGGTTTGTGATACTAGGGTGATTAATAATAGGTGGATATTTCTTTATGGTAGCTTTTAAACTTGCATTTACAAATATCAGTTTTTCCTCTAAAATTGAAGTAGACCTCCCCAGGTATATACAAATATGCTTTGTTTGGAACCAGTTGGTTTCTATAGTGGCAGGGCTTTCTCTTTCAAATCAAAAGTACATGATGGAAATTACTGACATTAGAAATACCAAGTAGAGCTGTGCAGGAACTGAAATTTCCATTTCACTGTAAATTCTGTGATTTTGAAATTTGTTTCATTCCAAATCTGAAAGAGAACAATTTCCTATAAAATGAAATGTCCAGAAGTAAGTTTTAGGCATTTTGCATGATAAAAAGTTCTACTGGAAAAATTCAACCAATTTTAATGCCAAATCATGATATGATGCTTCATCAGCTAGCATTACTAATGCAGATGGTATTCTGCACTAGGCAGAATGATCTATGTTAGCAGTGCATATTACAGAAATAAAATATCATGGAGGTTTTTCGATATCATTCTTCTATGGGTGCTCCGTTGTAGGAGGTGTACACACCTGTGTGCTGTCAATTGGAGATTTAAATTAGTAGTGTTTGCACCAGTGCACC